TGTGTGTGTGTGTGTGTGTGTGTGAACCTGCTCGGTTTTGCCTTGGATCTTAGTACAAAAAGTGAGCCCTCAAATATGAGTTTGATCCAAAACGTACCTTGTGCCACGTCATTCTAATCAGATTCAATCCTAAATATTTTTCCGTTACAATGTTGAGAATGTCCTCGGGATTTTTATTTATTTATTTTTTAAATTTTCGGGGGTGCTCCACATGCCCAAAAAACTCCAGTCAGTCCACGCCTTGTCATGTTAGGTCAAAATCGCACCTTTTCACTGATCCACATGAAATGGGTGCCACGTCATTCTAATCAGATTCAATCCTAAATAGTCTTCCGTTACAAGGTTGAGAATGTCCTCAGGATTTTATTTTATTTTTTCGGGGGTACTCCACATGCCCAAAAAACTCCATTCAGTCCACGCCTGATGTACATGTTAGGTCAAATCGCACCTTTTCACTGATCCACATGAAATGTAATGAATATGTCCATCATACAGGACGCACGCAAAAGTATCAGGGAAATTTGGCCGAAACCCAACTCGTTTGACGTTGAGGGACGGGAGCAGGGCGGGGGGGGTGCTTCACCACGGCCATTCCTCAGCACCTGCGCCGTCACCTGGAGCCACGCGGCGAAAAGAAAATTCGTCAGCCCCAATCAAAGGCAACCACGCGCTTTGTTCGCTACGGAGAACACGACACCGTCGTCACGTAAGCTCCTTGAAGGCCACAAAAAAAAAAACCTAAAAAAATTTGAAATAGCCCTTGGGGTCAGCAAGCCGAGCCCCTTTGTGGCTCGCGCGAGGTGGTCCTCGCCGGAGCCAGCAGTGGGCGTGCAGGCCTCGCAAAAGCGCTTGGCGGTCGCCGTCGCGCTAAATGGAAGCAGAAGAGCACGCTGGCGCAGCGCGACGGGCCACATGCTCGCTTGGGCTACCGAACGTGTAGTAGCGTTGACAAGTGGTGCAGACGGGGCCAACAGCGCCTTTGTCTCACACACACACACACACACAGAAGTGACACTTCCAAATCTCTCAAAAAGTTCACCAGAATTCTGCAGTCACTCGTGTGAAGAAGTCACCTGCCAAATTGTGTTGGCATGACAACAACTTTTTGTCCTGAAGAAAAGTCCTTTTTTTTGTTCTTGTGAGAATGTTTTTTATTTTTCCTCGAAAAGGTCTGATGTTGTTCTTGCAACCTAGCAACTTTTTTTCGACTTAAATTTTGCCTTGATCGCTCGTGTGGTTCACTTTCTGCAAATTTTCAATCGTAACGTTCATTTTCTTTTCCTGGAATTTTGACTCCCGTGTGTCCCGTGTCGCGGTACGACATCCAAAGTCAATGCCAACGACCCGGCGACCGTTTTCACGCTCATCGAATTTCTCTTCAAATCCGCAGAATTTGCCGTCAAATCCG